AATAAATAAAAAACATTTTGTTAAAAAATATTGATTTAAATCTTAAAGAATTATTAATTTATTTACAAATGGTATCGAAAAAGGATTAATTGAAAGAGAAGCTGATTTTGCCCTTATTTAGTGAATCGGTTGACAACTTTGACATTAGGGACTCGTTGAGAGTGTTTCCCACTTTTTGGACACTCTGTTCATCGAATATAATTGTAAACCAATTAGTGATTTATGATTGAAATCAATGTCGAAATACCTGATGGATCTGTTGAATGGGTTCCGGGTGTAAACTTCCAGACTTTAATTTCTTCACATAAACAATACCTTCAGTGGAATTAATAGCGAATGATATACTGGCGACTCCGGCCTCCTCTTCCTCTCGAGTCACGTCCACAACATATCGGCCACTAATTCGGGTTAATGTGACAAACAATGGCACAGAACTCACATCCAGTCGTGTCGACTCAAACTCATCGTCAGAAACGACAAAGTCGTTGTCGTCACCCAAAATGGGACTCACTTTTGGTATTCTTTCAAAATAAATGTTATCACAAATCAATTCAATTCAAGAATTATATAAATTATAATTAAATACTTGGTGTCAAAGAGAGCCGATTTGACAGCAATGGCCGCCGAATCAATCAACGATGGAAGTGATCCGCACTCAAGAACTACAATATCGATATGAATGACCCAAAAATGTTTGTTCGAATAATTAAATACTTGGTGTCAAAGAGAGCCGATTTGACAGCAATGGCCGCCGAATCAATCAACGATGGAAGTGATCCGCACTCAAGAACTACAATATCGATATGAATGACCCAAAAATGTTTGTTCGGAACCACTACTAAAGACTTGAGATCCAGACATTGAGGAATGGATTCAGAGAACAAATTAACCAAAATATTAGTGATGTCTTCGCCATGTCTTCCTTCAAATACTGGTGAGGCGTTTGCTGTCATATCGGCCGAGAAGTCGATTCTTCCGCATTGATCCCAGTCTTGCAACTGTTGGACACTTTCCATCTCTAGTTTGATGCCAACCAACACATCGTTGTGTCCGCACCTGATATGTGCGGAACCGTCGCAGTTATGGGTGACGTCTCTCTCAACTGAGATCAGCTGATAGTCATCGCAAGACCGGCCGTCCGATCGCAGCCCACAATCAATGCCTCCGCAGATATACCTTCGCTCGCCTTCACTGATGAGTGATAACAAAGACATGGCTTTCAATGCAAACGATATGTAATTAATTGAAATCGATATCAATTAATGAAATAAATGTCACGATTTTGTGTCACTTTTGAGACCAATTGAAAGACAAAAATGATTTGAAAACAAGAGTGAATCACGTGTTCACACAAAACACGTGCTTTTGTTTACATTCACTCAAATGTACACAAGTTTTGAAAATTGCATCAGAAATTCATTGAAATAATTGTCATTAAAATGTCTTTTCTAATCAAAAGACATGAAAAGTGTTTATTTATTGTCAGCAAAAACTTGTGCCGATTTGAGTCAGTGTTCAGTAAGAATCATAGGATCCGTATATCAGAGCAATTCAATCACTCATATCTGCCGTCACTCCTGAAGAATATTGAAAACGAATGGAAACCTTTTGTCGACAACTACTGGAACCGAGTTGTGGCCAATAGTTCTTCGGCGAAGACCAGTCGCTATGTGTTGGCAATGTTTCCCTATTCCAGCGGTTCCTTACATTTAGGTCTCTCTTCTATACAATCCATGTATTGATTACTAATTGTCTCTTTAATTGTGTGTAATTGAAGGTCACGTTAGGGTTTACACGACATCAGACGTTATCTTCCGGATGAGTCATCTCCGGGGATATCCATCGATACATCCAATGGGTTTCGATTCGTTTGGTTTGCCGGCAGAAAATGCGAGTCACGATTTTGTGTCACTTTTGAGACCAATTGAAAGACAAAAATGATTTGAAAACAAGAGTGAATCACGTGTTCACACAAAACACGTGCTTTTGTTTACATTCACTCAAATGTACACAAGTTTTGACTGTTTTTAGGTTTGAAATGAGTTTTGAAAATTGCATCAGAAATTCATTCAAATAATTGTCATTAAAATGTATTTTCTAATCAAAAGACATAAAAAGTGTTTATTTATTGTCAGCAAAAACTTGTGCCGATTTGAGTCAGTGTTCAGTAAGAATCATAGGATCCGTATATCAGAGCAATTCAATCACTCATACCTGCCGTCACTCCTGAAGAATATTGAAAACGAATGGAAACCTTTTGTCGACAACTACTGGAACCGAGTGGTGGCCAATAGTTCTTCGGCGAAGACCAGTCGCTATGTGTTGGCAATGTTTCCCTATTCCAGCGGTTCCTTACATTTAGGTCTCTCTTCTATACAATCCATGTATTGATTACTAATTGTCTCTTTAA